AAACGATGCGAACGTTTACAGCATCACTACCAGCAGCGCAGTTTTAAACGCAAGTAAGCACAGTCAAACTGTTAGAGAACCTAGAGACACACGAGAGTTTAGACTGAAGAGGAAACCAAGAAGAAAACACCACAGCTGAGCACATGAAGCCAGTGCACAAGAGCGTGCGGTATGAGTGATGCTTGCGACGAACAACTGTGGGAGGTCAGAGCGCGCTTTTCTCGCCACGACAGCTGGCCCAAAACGGTCGACAAATGGACCCAGGGGAATGCGCCTTCAACGCCGAGACTAACATTTTCATTTTTTTAATATATTTTTTTTGCCCAGCATGGATTACATGAGTGGCCGCAGGTCCACAACTATGAAAGTGGGTGTCCGCTAACATGGCGCAACCGCAAATTTTCCTTACATTTACTTTTCTTTTTTTTTCAGACGCGTTAACATCCTTGAAAATCGACAATTCCCGCGTAAATTCACACTTTAATTTTCGTCCTGAGTCTACTGTACTTCCTGTTTCCCCGTATGCTTCCCGAGTAAAATGCTCAGAAATGACGAGCTGTAAAAAGTGGAGCTGGAAAGTTCGCACACCGAACGCGTTACTCTAGAAGGAAACGAGGCGACTGGAGAACGGCAGTCTTGGCATTGCACGTTTCCTTTTGTTCTTTTCTTTTTTTTCTACCTATAAGTTTTCTTGACCTCTTACTTTTCTTTTTGTTCTTTCCTGAACGTAGGTGGCAACAGTGGTGCGTGTTTTTTTTTTGACATTTTTTCTGTCTCCACTGCTATAGGCCAACGTGCAAACTGCTGCACTGTTTACTACTGTCGAAGGTTTCCCCATATCTGTGTTTTCATCACCAGTGAATTTTTAGTGCATTTCGCAGATGCTTTTCTGTCTTTTTTCTCGTTTGTTTTATTGAAACCGCTGAGGCAGCTTTAACGCACGTGAATGATTGGCGTTTTGGACGCCCTGCGTTTTTGTGAAAATAAACCAACGCATATTTAGCATGTATGTTATGCACGTTTGTACTTTCTTTAATACAGTACTACTAAATCAGACATTTTATCGAACTATAGTAAAGGTTCAATGATGTTGAAAAAATAGCACGACAAAATTGCCGACAACTCAAGCGCTTGCATTCCTACGAAGTTATATATATAGTATAGTATACTAAGTTATATAGTATACTAAGTTATACCATTCCTATGGTATAACTTAGTATGATGCGGTGTTTCCAAAGCACACTTTTTTTATCTCTTTTCTGTTTTTTATTTTTCTTCATTTCTTTTTTTGCCCTCTTAATTATGGATAACAGTTCAAATTTGGTATAAGGTGGTTTTATAATAATGCGACTGTACTGCTTGTACTGTACTTTTGTCGGTGATTTAACGTCAACACACAAGAAAGAGATGGGCCTTTCTGATGCTCTGGTAGGCGGCCTTGCACATTTAGATTTCCGGCATTTTATGAAACACGCTAACGACATGGACTGGGCGACACGACCGAATAGAGTTAGGAATCACTGAAAATTCATAGTTGGGTTTCTCAGACTTACAGCTTTTCAAAAGTTTGACACAGACTGTCGGAGTTAGTTACTTTTAATGAAACATTAGTGGCGAGTACCGCTTTTTTTATTGTCCATTTCTTACCCTCACATTTATAATTTATGCGCACCTTTTATTCAACAGTCGTAGCCGTGGTTCATTCTATAAATAATGACAGTGGTTACCTTAAGCCTTGGGTGCATGGTCTCGCAGTACGTCAGCCCAGAACGCCCCATGAACTCATCTAAAATTCCTGAAGGTAACATCACTGAGCGACCACCTCTAAAACCCTGCATTATGCGTGTAATGTGCAGTCCGCATCTCCCATGTCTTTCTATATTTTACTTCCTTCTTCCCCTCTCCCCATGTGTAGGGCGTCAAACTGGACGAAGCCTAATTAACACCCTACCTTTCTTATATTCCATCTCTCTGTCCCTTCTTGAAGCCAATTGCAGGTACGTCCGTATTTTATGAAGCGTACGTGCTATCACTTACGGAGTTTGCTTATCCTATGGTTTTTGCTTCAGCAACACACATCTCGCGTGCACAGCGCATCGCTGCCGGACACATAACGAGGCATTTCTGTTACAAGAAGCGGCTTACATAGAAAGTCAAATGCCAGAAAGGCCCATTCCCAATCGCATTGCTGTACTTCTAAGCTCTTCGCTTCGCCTAAAGGCTCAGATTTAGGAGTCCGCACAAGCGCAGCTTCAATAAGGTAATCCTGCGTTGTGAAGACAAACATAAAATTCGCCGGCACAGAAAGAAGTGTGCCTGCACATCGAGCTTTTCTTACTCCCATTTCGTCCTTATTCCCGACTTCCTGGAGATATTGAGGATGTAATCCTTTTGAAAATTATTACGAAAAATGCTTCCACAATTCCGGAACTTCCGCGACAACACGAAGCAGCGACAGTACATAGGTCCTTTCCTGAAATCAAAGCATTATAGCCAGTGAACAAGACAAGGGTCTTAGCTCTGGTGCAATGTTACCCCATGTACTGCGTCCTTCACAGTTAAATGTCGAAGTTCAATGAAAACTCAATGCTATCTATACGCACACTTTGATCAAAATGGCAATTTAATATGTTTGACAAGCACAATGGTTTTTGAGAATTACAGTCTTGCTCGAGGTTTGTCTTATTATGTCTTTTCTCTGTAACTTTGAGCTATAGATCAGCGGTCAATCCAGCTTTAGCGATCAATGCAGGTTTATTTATTCCTCGTCTTGGGCTACATCTGAAAATGTGGAACAGCCTTGACTGGCATGATTGTGTACATTATTGATATGGCAGCATAGATGAATCTGTGTTCCGGAAAGAAAAAGAACCAATAATATTATCCGGGGCTTTACGTGCCAAAACCTTGATATATTTATCAGATAGGCCGAAGAGGAGGGCTCAGAAAGTTTGACCACTTGGCTTTCTGTAACGTGAACTAAATTTAAGTAAACGGGCCTCCAGGATTCGCCTCCATCGAAACCGGACCACCGTGGCCGGCATCGAAACCGTGATTATCGGGTCAGCAGCGAAGTGAAAAAAAAAACATAAAAATGTATAGCGATTTTTTTATTTTCATTGCTTCCATGACGAGCCGACAGTAGTGTACCCACCGAATAGGCTAAGAGGTCTGCAGTTCCCGCTGACCCCAGCCATTGAGGAAGCGATGAATTACACATGCCAGCAACCAATGCTGCATTGCTCGTCTAATTATTTACAAACTGAGTTAAGCCAAGTTTTGTTCACATACAGCGCGCTCTCACACACTAACGAAGATGAGACACAGGAAGTTGAGTGTCTCATCTTCGTCTGTGTGTCAGAGTGCGCTCACTGTAAGCTATCATGAATCTTCACCAATCATAGCCCGGTCAAAAACCTTGCTACAGTTCAGTTTACAGCAATGTTTACGCCCATTTTTGTTACTGCTAACGCGTCCAATTGAGTGACTTGGAGCCCGCGAACTCGGAAATCTTTAGGCATTGGAAGCGCTTTGTCTTAAGCAATCTACGATGTCACGAAGAATGTGCGTCGCGTCTCTCCAGTTCATAGAGTCCGCGGAATGAGATGTGTTCTGACGTTTACGGCGGAAAGATTCAGCGCAAGACGCCTACATTCGTCACTCGTCCATTAACGAATTTGTCACCATAATCCTTCGTTACGCCGGAGAAGGCGGGTCATAAACGTGAATGCTGCGGCTGATAACCGTCGTGCCGAAGGACATCACGTCGTAAGCGACGGCCACATAGTGACAACAAATCGGCGTATAAGCTGCTAATCTAAGGGGAAAAAATTATCCGGGGCAGCTACACACGTGGTAAGCTGCCTATTCGCGTATGCGATATTTGCAGGCCAGTTGCTAGATTGCTCTATACACTCTATTAAAAGAACTAGTATATGTTACTTTTTCCTTGATCTGCCCCGTATTTGACGCTCTTTAAAAATAACCAAATCAATCGAACAGACAATTAGGCCAGGGGAAGCATAGCGGACGTGCGTTGTTCTCTTCAAACGAAGTGTACTTTGTGTCACATAAATGTTTGAAATGATTCGACCTGCAGCGAGAAGCATCCTTTACCTCTGCAGGGTGTGATCCTAAAACTTTTGAATCCACGATCTTCGAACCTATGAATAGGCAACCGGGGAAACTTTGACCCTAGAACCTTCGAATAAAGACACGTTATCTCTCTTTGTGTTCCCGAACTCTCGAACGAGGATATACTCGTCTCTAATCATAGTTCACGCGTTTTATTAGAGAGCGTGACACGCGTGGCGAGACACAGCTCAGAAAATCGAGTCAGGGGACTGTTTCTTTCAAAAGCGTAGCCCCGAAACTTCGTGCCGATTACGACCTTGTACGAGTGAATGTCACGTACGACTGGAGGGTGGTAGCACACTGAAACACGCCATTATGATAGACGAACACGTGCTTCGCGTCCTGTACTAAAGGTGAGACATGGACCCGCTGGGCTGCTCCAGTTAAACCGTTAGGGGTGTGCTTTAACACGTATATGTGCCGGCGACGTGGGAAGCGAAAAATGAAGTAGCTTCATATTTGCGAAACGGCGTGGCGAAGTAGCACAAACTGACGCAGGAACTCCCGAAACACTTGTGCCGGACTGTTAACTTAACTTTCATTCACGTGTACAGCACACTAACAAACACCCACATGGGGCTAGACACGGGTGAAAAACGAACATAAAAAAGTAACCCTCGACCTGGTTAGGTACAATATTTCTTTGTGCTGCAAAGGCGATAGATGAGAAGTTGATGCACGACTATTCTCGCTTTTATGTCTCAATATCTGCGTTCTCCGCGTGCGACTTCAAAGCTCACGTTGAAAGTTCAGCGCTTCTCTTTCGCGTGTTCTTCGGTTCTCCTGTCGAACCTCGTGGCACCGTTTCGCAATCATGGACGTATCGCCCAGTTGTCAGTCCTACCGAATGTGGAGTGACTACTCACCGGACAGCGTGGCGTAGGCCCACAGCGCCAGCAGCACGGGTACGCATCCATCCATGCACGCGTCGGCGCTGTCCGGCAAGCAGCGACGTGATGCCGCGCTCGCGCCCACCGCCGCGGGCGCCGCCACTTGGGTCCGGTCGAGCCGCCGGCGGTCTGCGCTTCTTCGAAGCGCGCGCGCGGTACGAAGGGACCCTGCGTGCGCGATCGCAGCGCTCTCCACGGAATCAACCTTCCGTTCGCGAGCCTCGGTTCGACACGAGTCAAAAACCTCGGTGTTCTGACGCGGTGGCGTGGCTTGGAGGCGCAACTCCTTCTTCTTCAATTTCTCTCCCCCCTCTTTCTCTCTCTCTTTTGCTTCTGCTCCCACACTGCTTTGTGGCCCGGAGGGGGGAGTTATTCCATTTGAAGGAATGTCTTTCTTTCTCTCTCTCTTTTTAATAATTTATAGGGGAGGATTTCGCACAGGAAGTAAACCGAGATATACTTCATTCGCATCAGCGGCAGAATGCACGATGCTTCTCTATCGCAACTGCTCTTTCCCATTGGTCAGTGGGTCTCGCCAATAGTGTGTCCAGTGACAGGATTGCTAGAAACATTTTCTTAGGGCTATATTTAGTGGAAGATGGTTATTCCGATACAGGCCCGCAAGCATACACCAGATAATTAATTGGTAAAGCCTGTATGCACATTTCTTCTTTCTTGCTTAGTTCAATTAATGTAATACGCTTCTTTCGTGTTCGAATATCTTTATTATCGAACGACTGCTGTATGCACACATATTACGCGACATTTTCACACGACTACGCGTCCAGCTACTTGTTCGGTGCTGCAGCGAATTTGCATATGAGCCGCGCCAGTAAATATAACTCGAACACTTTGCGACGACTGAGCAAGGGGCGATTGAATGACATGAATGATATACCTAGCAGCGATGAAACTATTCTCATAACCTTTTTTTTTACATCGACTTTAGCACCAAGCACGTAGAAAACAGGGCACGCCCTTTGCCAGGTGAAAGCAATAAGGCGACTTCAGAGTCACGTTTAGCTGACTTCATCGCACGGGGACCAGTCCAACACAGCAAGCAACAAAAGAAGTCCAGGAAAATTTAAAAAACAAACCTCTAGTCAGCATTTCACTGTTAAAAGGTACGGCGCCATCTTTGTGCCCTCAGTGAATATGTCGTGGTTTTTCATACATAAGCCACATTTAAAAATACTGCATAAATGTTTTTAAAAACTGCGGTGTGGTTTATATCCAGGGGGTTATATACATATTTGTTTTTTTTATACAGGTAAAGTTTCGAGGGGCAGGCTATTTGCGAGAAAATGCAATATATTCGAAATATTTGACGTGAATATTTACTCGGGCTCTAAAAAAATTGTTTAAAAACAACGTCATTACAACCAACAACAAATGTCTAGTACAAAATCGCAAAAGCAAAGAAAGCGACTTAGAAGAAAAAAGAGCGGTGAATTGCGATCAGTTAAGCAGACAAGAAATTTAGCGGATACTTTCATTTTCTTTTTTTTGCATTTCTTTTTCTCAACGCAAAACTGAAATAACTATAATGCAATACTATCCCTACTACTATAGTAGTAGTAGTTGCCACACGTACGCTATATACTGTACAGCTGAAGCATAAGCGAAAAGTGCTGACCTATACAGACCTCGAAAAAAAAAACGCAGAAAGGGGGAAACGAGAAACAAGCGTGTCTCTAAGGAATATCACATATTTTACCACTGACTACAAAGTAAGATACAACAGAAAAGATTACGTCTTAATGTCACATCGGCGCTAAGTCTGTCTTTACGATCAGCACCACACGGCTACACGGTTTTTGAGACCAGCCGCAAATAAAATAACAGAAATAAAAACACACGAGTGAAAGTTGTAGGTTTTGATGTTTTTTTCGTTCGTTTGTCGATATATTCCTTTCACGTTACCAGTTGTAAACCAAGAGTCTTGGGTTTTACCCGAAGGAAAAAAAGAACGAGATAAGTCTTGTTCGCCAGTGGCATTCCCAAGAACAGCATCTCCACTACAGTATGCTCCCAGGCTGCTTCAAACGTCTACGCAAGGTAAATGTTTTTTTTAATTGAAGAAAATAATAAAAAATTGCATCGATTGTGAAGAAAACGTTAGGCGTCGAGAAGTCTTTCCTGTTCAAGATAAAAATTCAGCAAAGATTGCCACGTTGAAGTTCGCAAGGTTGGTTTGAATGAATGACGTTCAAAACATAATACCGACTTTATCTTTCTTTCTTTCCCTTCCGGTTTTTTCCATTCATTGACTGTGTCTTCTTTTTACTCGCTATTTTTACCGAAGGTAGGCGTCTGCGACTTGCTTTTCGCTACGCCTGAGGGCCACTTTTCGAAGTAAAAAAAAAATGCTATCGCAGTCGATAATGTCTGATATCTCTCCTCCTTTCTTGCTTTTGTATCGGCTAGTTTATTTCTGAATTTATGCCGTGAGCACAGTGGACAAAGCTGCAGTTTTTCCTTTTTTCCTCCGACCTCATCGAGGGCTAATCGCTTCAGGCTGAAAGCGGCACTGCGATAAAAAATCGAGACGACCCTATAGTTGAGTGCAGAAGTGATACTCAAAGGTATGACTAATTGCCTGTGAACTTGTGCGCACCTTCGTGCTTTACAGCGACTGTAGTATAAGTCTTCATGAAGACATCGTCTACTGTCTTTTTTTACCATCGTAAAGACTGACTAGAGAGTCTCCCGAAAATCTGCCCTGAAGCCTGGCGTTTAGTGAATCTGGTTAAACACACCTATCGCTAAGAGAAGTTTCACAGCTAGAACAATTCAGTTAGCCCGTTGAAAGTGGAGACAGCTGTGGCACGCGCATTTTGATTTGTTCATGAGCTGATTCGACTCCAATTCTAGTAAAAGAAAGATTAATCTTTTGTGCCACCGGCGAAATAACTTTCGTGGTTTTTTTATGAAATGTAAAAACAAAACAAAGTGAAATCTCTTCCCAACCAGTTACGATAAAAAGAGATATTTGAAAAAAATATACGTAATGATATAACACGTTTATATAATATGTTGTAACACGTTGATACTCCACGTGGAATATGTGCTTAAATTTCTCAAAGTGCAACGTCAGGATTGCAAAAAACATTTCAGAAATCCAGCACACATACAGTATTGATGAAAAGCCAGGTAAAAAAGTACCTGAGTGTAAATATTTAGGAATTTATTTAACCGAATAATTTCATTGGTACAGCCACATAGACCAAATGATCCTAAAGGCTAGTAATATGTTTTTTTGTTATTCGCAGAAACTTTCATTGTGCAACAAAAGAGGTAAAGAGAACTCTCCACTTCCTGCATAAGAGGTCTATACTTGAATATGCTTGTGTTATCTAGGACCCGGCTATAAAGTACCTTGCAGAAACAATAGAAGAAAATTCAAAATCAAGCAGCCCGTTTCCTCAGCAAAAATTACGACCCATTTGCTAGTATATCAGATATAAAGGCCACATTAAGCTGGGAACTCTACAATCTAGAAGACGAAAACTTCGACTAAAATTTCCGCATAGTATATACTATAACCTAACAGGAATTGAGAAGTCAGAATACCTACTAGCACGAACATATCGTTCTACAAGATGCCAACACACGCATAAAATAGGAGAATACGAGTTCAAAACAACAACTTCTGCTAACTCCTTTTTTTAAGAACAACTAGAGACTGCAATAAGCTTCCCGAAGATATCGTAAAGTTGAGTGACAACGGCGCTTTTTTTCTTCATCATTGTGACATGGTGACATGCGTATTCACTTTTAGTACTTGTTTGCCACGTGTCATATTGTACTAAAACATTTTTTTATTGCATACTGTAATTATATATGCTGTTCTATTCTTCAGAATGTTTCAAGCGTCACTATTAACAGAAATGTTAGCAACCACGTTGAATTTTGTGTGTAAACTACCCTGCAGTAATGCGACTATGGCGTTGCAGGAACTCTGTAAATAAATAAATAAAGAGAACTTAAAAAAATCTATAAAAGCAATGGGAAAACGTGAGAAACGTGGCAGAAAAAAAATCTCGTCACCAGTGTGAGATATCAAAAAGTGCGTATGGCTGGCACCCAGCGATTCCCGTTCAAGAGCCCCTACTATTCTTTTACCACGGTGACGTGAATTTTCGAGGAATGCATGTAAGGTTTCCCAGGTACGAGTAGAAAATTGTTAGAATTCGCATACTCTGGCGCGCGACACGGACGCTACTTTTCGCTTCGCTTTATAGACTTCCTGTGTGAATGATAACTTAAGCTGTAGCCAGCCGGCAGGGCATTATCAACTACTGGAAGAATCTGAACAAACACATCTGTGAACCAGTTCAAAAGCGCATAGCGTAAAAAAATTGGCCACGTATCTGAATGTTTTACTGCAAATATCGTCGAAAGACGATAATATTGCGTCTAGGGAGAGTGAACGAAACGTTTATTTGATGTTCTGCGCGAGAAAATCGGTGAATTGTATTCTGGAGGTGCTGCGTTAGAGAGTCTCGATCTGTGCAGCGACTGCGAACGAGCACATCGAGGCACGTTAGACACGAGCGCCATCTGGAAGTTTTCTTCAAAAACGAAGGAAGGCGTACGCGCCCGTCTTGGAGGCGATAACGTGTAGAACGCAAAGCGACGGGCAGGTGCCATCCATCACCGTGTCGTCTTAGCAAAGCGTTGAAAACACTTGCCTTTTTGAGCATCGCGTTGCATTGTCAGCGCAGCGTGATAAACGCTATGGTCCTTAGAATTACATTTGTCTGCCGTCTCTAGTATAAAGACACACACACAAAATATTGGCATGTTGTTATTGTGTCTCAGATATGTGCAATAATTGCTTTTTAATTGACGATCGCACAAGTATGAACGCCGAAACTTGAGCAATATTGGTGGGCGCTGCGGATGAGGTAGGCCGTTTGGGGTATCGTTACAAATGTATGAACACACAGGCAGACAGAAAGACCAAAATTTTTGCGCCAAAGAAGAAGCCTATCGTCTTTGAAAATTGTATCAGGTGCTCTTCCATCAGTAACCGACAAACAGAAAAGAGCTTCCCATGGTCGACGCTACCTGCCGCTGTACGGCCAACAGACTTTTTCAGTTT